CCTTTGCCAGGAATCTCCCATCCGCCCTGGGGCTTCACGCTCCTCACTGTGAAGGTGGAGGCTGGAGGTCAGCGTTTCCACAGAGCCCAGCACCCCTTCGCCCTCTGGGTAACCAGACCTTGAAAATCATCAGGAACCTTCCCGGGTGCGGTGGCCTCGGCTGTTAGCGCAGGGCCCTGGCGAGAGGATGCTGGCCAGTGTGGCCGGGTCTCAGCCTCTGGCCCATGGGGGCCGGGTACTGGCTAAGGGAGCTGCTCCCAGCTGCTGTTCTACTTCTTTATATTTTTCTATCATAAAGTATTTTTTCTCCTCTTAAAACTTCTCCCCAGGTGGGAGAAGGAGGTGGCTCCTGTGCTTCATTTGGGGTGTGCATAGGTGAAGATGGAGCCAGCACCCCTGGGGCAGGTGAGACCAGGACCGGGAAGGCCACGGGGCAGGCAGGAGCAAGCACCCGTTGGGTGCTCCAAGGTGAGCACATGGAGGGTCGGTGGCTGCTGGTCCTGGGAGCCGGTATGGAGCAGAGCCCACGGGAAAGAGTAGAGCCCTCCGGGAGAGTGCGGACCCCAGCGGGAAAGTGTGGACCCCAGTGGGAAGTCAGTGCCACACTCTGGGAAATCAGGACTGCGCCACACACCGGGAGGGACATCAGGGCTGTGCCACGCATGGTTCAGATGCTTCCAGTGTCCACTGGGTGCCCTGTCCACTCCAGGAGAAGGTGGGAGCTCAGGGGCACCCTCAGCAAGGTGCTGTGTCCACACCCGGGGGTGGCTTCTGATGGAGGAGGGGAGAACCCCAGGAAGAAGGAAAGGCCCCAAGGCCCATTACGCGGCCACCCAGCTAGACTGAGGTACAGGGCAGGGGGTGCGTGTGGCGGACGTGGAGCTCGGATTTCATCCTGTAGATTCGACTGTGCAGCGGGCCTGTGCATGCCCGAGAGTCAGCCTGGGATCCCTAACGCATGCGTGCCGAAGTCCTGAAAGCGGTGGAAGCAACTGAACCTTTCCTGGCATCGCAGGAGGCAGCAGGAGGAATCCTCACACTGACGGGCAGAGATCCCAAAGTTCCGTCCTCACTGTGATGTGGGCAGGGGACAGGGTGCAAGTCCCACCAACAATTCCAAAACAAAGCCTCACACGCAAACCGAAAGCACGTCAATCCGCTGAGCCTTAGTTTTCTTTCTTTTTTTTTTTTTTTTGAGACGGAGTTTCGCTCTTGTTACCCAGGCTGGAGTGCAATGGTGCGATCCCGGCTCACCACAACCTCCGCCTCCTGGGTTCAGGCAATTCTCCTGCCTCAGCCTCCTGAGTAACTGGGATTACAGGCACGCGCCACCGTGCCCAGCTAATTTTTTGTATTTTTAGTAGAGACGGGGATTCACCATGTTGACCAGGATGGTCTCGATCTCTTGACCTCGTGATCCACCCGCCTTGGCCTCCCAAAGTGCTGGGATTACAGGCTTGAGCCACCGCGCCCAGCCTCGCTTTCTTTTTTTGAGACAGGGTCTCACTCGGTCGCCCCGGCTGGAGTGCAGGGATGTGATCTGGGCTCACTGCAGCCTCGAACTCCCAGGCTCCAGCCATTCTCACACCTCAGCCTCCTGAGTAGCTGAGACTAGTGTCGTGAAGCACCATGCCTGGGTATTTTTTTGTATTTTTAGTAGACATTGGGGTCTCACCACATTGTTCAGGCTGGTCTCAAACTCCTGGGCTCAAGCGATCCACCTGCCTTGGCCTCCTACAGGCAGGTACCGCCATAGCCAGCGAGTATTCACTTTCTCAACATGCCAACGAAATGAGTGGGCCTGGGAGGTGGAGGCGGAGGCGGTAGGGTGCGGGGCAGGGGCAGTGGGGTGCGGGGCGGGGGCGGGTGGGGTGCGGGGCGGGGGCGGTGGGGTGCGGGGCGGGGGCGGTGGGGTGCGGGGCGGGGGCGGGGGCGGTGGGGGTGTGGGGCGGGGGCGGTGGGGTGCGGGGCGGGGGCGGGTGGGGTGCGGGGCGGGGGCGGGTGGGGTGGCAGCGGCGGAGGCAGGCCAAGTCCTCACACAGGGGGAGGTGGTTCCTAACAGATGCCTGATCAGAGGAAGACAAGGCGAGCACTAGAAAATGCAAACAGGGTGAATAAAACGCCTCTAGCCACTAGTGAGAGGTGGAGTGAAATGTGGCACAGCCTGCGGGAGCTGGAAAACAGCAAACACACAGAGGAAACGGGACAGTTGTGGTCCTGAGATGATGGGAACGAATCCAACGCTGGTGAGAGCAGAGCGAGAAACAGGAGCGGCAGCTGTTGGCCCGCACGCTCTGAGTCAACTTTGGTGTGAGTTGTGAGATTTAGGTCAAAGTTCCTTTTTTTTTTTTGGCCTCTAGAGGTCTGATTCTTCCAGCACCATTTGTTGAAAAGCTATTCATCTTCCCTTGAATTGTTTTTATACCTTTGTCAAAAATCAGGTGGGCATATTTGCGTGGGCCAGTTTCGGGGTTTTCTGTTCTGTTCCGTTGGTTGGGGGTCTACCCGGCGGCCCACATGCCACTTTCTCTATATTGTCACTACGGAGAAGGTTTGAACATCCACGCCAGCTAGAGTGATGACTCCGCTCTTTTCTCCTTCAGGATTTTTTTTTTTTTTTTGAGTCTCACTCTGTTGCCCAGGCTGGGGTGCAGTGGTGCAATCTCGGCTCACTGCAACCTCCACCTCCCGTGTTCAAGCGATTCTCCTGCCTCAGCCTCCTGAGTAACTGGGATTACAGGCGTGCACCACCACGCCCAGCTAACTTTTGTATTTTTTAGTAGAGATGGGGTTTTACCACATTGGCCAGGCTGGTCTTGAACTCCTGACCTCATGATCTGCCCGCCTCAGCTTCCCGAAGTGCTGGGATGACAGGCGTGAGCCTCCGTGCTCGGTCAAGATTGTTCTAAGTATTCTAGGTCCTTTGCCTTTCCTTATACATTTTATCTTCTCAATCCCCACCCTTAATTCAAGCCCCCAGCAACCACCACTCTACTGCCAGCTTCTAAGGGGGGTTGACATCGTCAGACTCCACGAATATGTGAGATGGGTGGTGTGTGTCTTTCCACACCCATCTGATTTTACTTAGCATGACATCCTCCGGGCTCGCCCATGGTGCTGCTCCTTTTTGAGGGCTGCATAGTACTCCACTGTGTGTCCCACATTTTCTTCATCCATCCACTGACAAGCAGAAGGTCAAGGGTGGGGCCTGTCTCCACTGTCCCACCAACACCCTAACAGCCTCCCCTAGGCCACTCTCCCACTGGTCTTCCTGTTGTGGAGGCCAGGCTGCCCAGGGTGGCTGAAGCTGGAGGCAAGGTTTGGCCATCTTTGCCAGGGCTCAAGGACGCAGCTGGGGCCCCTCTTGCTGCTTCCCAGGTTCCTGCTTCAGCTTCCAGGCCTCATCTCAGGCTGGAAGGGCCGGTAGAGGCTACTAGACCAATGCTTGGATGCCCCGTAGGCCAGGAGGGACCAGGGAGGCCACAAGCTGTGGAAGAGGAGGCCTCCAGAGGGTCAAGGGATATGCCCTATGTGTCTGCCCTTGGGGCCTAGACCCCTCTGCCCGTGGCAGGAATCCAGCCTTCCCTCTGACCCTGCACCCCAGGCTTGGGGCCCAACCACCCCGTGAGACAGACAGCCCCTGGGGACCTGGGTGCCAGGGGCAGGGAGGGGCTGCCCCCCATGGACGCATACCTTTGGCAGTCCGGGTCATCTCCAGGGTGATGCTGGACACGACAGCCTTTCCCTATCCCCCCAAGTCAGGCAGGGTTCAACCAGGGTTAAGGCTAACCGGTGCTCCTGTCCACCCCCACCCCCAGCAGTGGGGGCCCTCCTGCTGGCTGCCCTGAAACCTGCGGCTTCAATCCCTCAGCGTTTCCTCACAGCAGCATCCATGCTGTTCAGGTAACTGTGGCGGGAGCACCTCTGCTGTGTGTGGAGCTGAAAGCAGCTCAGGCTTGGTGGCAGCTTGGGTTGCCAGTGGCCACTAGGTGGCCCTGGTGAAGGAGCCGAAGGAGCCAGGCAGGAAGGGCTGCTGGGGCAGGAGGGCCTAACACGGCCCCCACCATCTCAGACTGGCCTGGGAGGGGGACAGGAAGGAGGGAGGGAGGGAGGGATCTCCGCATCACCTGGGAGGGGGAGGAGGGAGGGAGGATCTCCGCATCACCTGGGAAGGGGGAAGGAGGGAGGGAGGGATCTCCGCATCACCTGGGATGGGGGAAGGAGGGAGGGAGGGAGGGATCTCTGCATCACCTGGGACGGGGGAGGAGGGAGGGAGGGATCTCCGCATCACCTGGGAGGGGGGAGGAGGGAGGGAGGGATCTCCGCATCACCTGGGTTGGGGGAAGGAGGGAGGGATCTCTGCATCACCGGGAGGTTAAAAGAAGGCTCTGTGCCTCCAGGGTGCTTGTTAGCTCTGCTGATTCCCGCTGAGCGACCCGATCTGAGCCTTCCCTTCTCTTCTAGATGAGCTGAGAACAGGGAGGAGGGTGCAGAGGGAGGCGGGGGTGCCGGCGCCTCTCCCGGCTCCCGCACTTCACATCACACGCCACCTACAGGGGTCACAGTGGGCCCCAGGCCTCAGGTCCAGCTAGGTAGCCATGGCGAGCCGCAGAGCCACCTTCCAGGACCCAGGAGGTGCGTCTAGGCTGAGGGGACAGCGGGGATCCCCAGCGGCGGAGCTCCTGGAACATTTTGGGGGCAGCGAGGGGGTCTGTGTGGTGGAGCACAGTGAGCCCAGGGAGGCGGCAGGGGCCCCAAAGTCAGCTGAGTAGCCCAGGCCTCTCACCTCCCGTGGGGTTAGGCCGTGCCTTCCAGGACCTCCTCCAGCCTGGGGCCTGGGCTGATGCAGAGGGAGACCCAGGGGCCTGAGGTCAGAGGCTGTGGCCTAAATTCAACCTGTGAGCAGGAGCTGCCCGGGGTGGGGTCTCGAGGGGGCGTGGCCTCAAGGATGGGAGGGCGCAAGCCCAGGGTGGGAGGGTGGGGACCTGTGAGATGGGGGCTGTTGGCCGGGGCCAAGGAGGGCCGCAGCCGCAGGGCAGAAGCCACGGGCAGGAGCTGCCACTCACTCCCTCGCTGGCGCTCCTTCAGCAGGGCACGGGAAGAGGACCGGGCTCTTCTGGGGGGAGGGTGGCCCCAGCAGCCCCGGCCACAAAGTCTGGCTGTGCAGGGTCCAGGCATTGAGAGGCTCTCAGGGCCGAGTCTCGGGGTCAGCCCTGGAGGGTGTTAGCATCCTGGGGTGAGGCACTCCAGGGGCTCTGAAGCTCACTAAGGTTGTCTTTAGTGGGTTGGATAAAAATAGGTGACACTCGGAAGAGCAGTGCCGTGCCTGAAAATGCTGGGAAGTGGTGTCTGCCACCAGGCGACCAGCGGCCAGGGTGGCCGGTTTCAGGAGAGCAGGTTTGAGGGGGCTGGTGACCCATATGCAGTCTGTCTCCGCACGAGGACCCCGTGGGGGGAGAGGCAGGGAGTCGTCCTGGAGGGGCCCTCACTTTGCCCTCCAGCACCCGCCCGCCTTCCTCCTTCCACTGCAGCATCCATGAGTATCGGGGAGATGGGCTTGTGTTGTCTTCTCAGGTGACGAGGTGGCCATCAGGGCAGGGCAGCTGCTCCCTGGGCTCCTCCAGCCTCTTCATCCCCCTTTTGGAGGGAGCAGTCTCCTCCCCGGGGCTCAGACGCCAGCTCCACCTCAAGGTCCCCAGTCACTCCACCCGGGAAGAGGCGCTGGACACTTGATGGCCGGCTTTCCCCCCAACACCTCTCCCTGTTGCCCAGGAGCTGTCACCTGTGTCTCCAGGGTCAGCGGGGATGCAGGTAACCAACCTGGGGTTCTTCAGGCAAGGGAGGCGGCAGAGATGGTGGGGTCTGCACAGAGCAGGCGCCTGGCTGAGGCTCTGTCCCACCCCTGTCCTCAGCCTGAGGCTGACCTTGACTTTCACGTCCAATTGGGATACCCTAACCCCTCAGACATAGGTCAGGACTCTGGCAAACCCCCCGGTTGTCCCGCCAGACTCTTGGCCGGCCTTGCTGTCTCACCGACCACCATGTTGGCACAGGAGCCAGGGCTGGCACTCGATGAATAAACGCCTTTCAGGAGAAGGAACGCAGGAGGCTGGGCGCAGTCACCAAGGCAGATGGGCAGAGGCGGAGGGAGGCTGGGCAGGGGACAGGGTGGTCGGGCCACAGCGTGCCCCAGGGGACCTGGCTGGTGAAGGTGAGCCCAATCAGGAGGCATCACGACGTGACGTGGGTCTGCGTTTTCTCCTCTTCTTCCTGGTGGCTTACGTAAGAGGGAGAGCGATGGGGACGGCAGGGACGGAGCTGCAGGCTGAGGTTCAGGCGGAGCGGCTTGTCTTCTCTGTGCCCCCGCCTGCTTGGGGCATTCTTGGCTGGGTCTGCTCCTGCCAGAAGGGATGCGTGTTGCCAGGGGCGGGGGCTTGGCGTGTGTGCATGTGAGAGTATGTGTGTGTGTTTAAAATACAGAAAAACGAAGCGTGCCTATACTCTGCCTCGAGATGTTGGCCAGACTCCATCCGTGCCAAGTCCCCTCGGAGCCAGCGCCGGGGACTCCGGAGGCACCAGGAGGAGGAAGGTACGGGTGGCATTCGGTGACGATGGACGCATGCCACCGATGCATGCCAGCGGCTGCACGGGCCAAACACCCACCCACGAAACCCCCATGATGGCTGACAGCCACGGCAGGGGGAGACCGCAGTTGGCAGAGGAACCAGGGAGGGCCAGCTGGGGCAGGTGGATCGCGCTGGCAGCAGCACAGGTAAAGGGTGCGGGCTCGAGGGCTGTGGGCACCTGGCATCTTCGCTGGGTGCCGGAGGCCAGGGTCGGATCGAAGCCTGGCTCTGGGTGGCAGGGCGTGGCAGCGCTGAGGAGGGATCAGTCCCACGGGGGGTCTGGGCCAGCCTGGTAGGTGACGCCTCCTCCTGGCTCCCCCAGCGCCGCCCTGGGGCATGTTTGCCTGGGCGTGCTCAGCCCTTGTCCTCCAGGGAGCTAGGTTGGGCGGGCTGGGTGGGGCCAGCACGGGGTGCCCACGGGGGCTGCGTGTTGGGCTTTCCTCTGGGGTCTCACAGCTTCGTCACCTCCGCCTGATGCACTGGGGCTCCCAGGGCCAGCCCCCTAGATGCTCCCTGAATGTTGGTTGCACTCCCCAGGCGTGGGCTGGCAGGGTGGGCTGCAGGGCGGCACCTCGGGGTCCAGGGTTCCTAGGGGAGCACGTCTGCTCTCCCTACCATCTCCCCAGAGCCCCCGCCCCACCTCTTGCAGCCTGGCTCAGCGCCTCGGAGCCTGAGTGGAAGGACGGGACAGACGCCAAATGTGCGGTAGCAGGAGTGTAGGTGGCAGTGCCCCGAGCCCGGCTGCTGAGAGCGGGAAGGAGCCTGGGGTGAGGGACCCCCAGCAGCTCCAAGGCAAAGTCCTTCTGCCCTTCCCACAATCACAGGCCGGGAGAAAGAGCTGGGGGCCGTGGGAGGGGGGATTTTCACCTTCAGAAAGGTGGGCAGCCCCCAGGTGGGCTGGCGTGGAGCTGGCAGGGCTGGGAGTGTTAGCCGGGTGTCTGGCTGTGGCCCCTCAGCGTGATCCATAGCAAGCAGGATGGCAGACGCTGCCAGCTGCATCAGCTGGCAGAGGCTGGCACCAGACCCACGCCCTGGCAGGGGAACGGCACAGAGGGGCCCTGGCCACATGGGGGGATCCGTGCTGGCTGCCATCCCAGTCATTGCTCTGGGCAGCCAGTCCAGTCCCAGAAAGAAGGTTCCAACTGAGGGGGGATGGGAACACATGGGCAGGGGCTGGGGGAGAGGCAGTGGGTGGCCGGGAGGAGGCTGGGCTTAAGGACGAAAAATCCAAGCCTGGAGCCTGGCTGGCCCACGGGAGCCTCCACCCTGAAGGGGCTAGGAGAGGACTCTGAAGTCAAGGTCGGGAGCCTGGGCTGGCCTGAGGGGCAGGGAGGACTAAGGGAGGTGGAGGAGGGCAGCAGTGGTCTGGTCCAGACGCCCAGGGGTCAGAGCAGAGGTTGGGGACACAGGGTCCTGGGGTCAGGGCAGAGGCTGGGGACACAGGGTCCTGGGGTCAGGGCAGAGGCTGGGGACACAGGGTCCTGGGGTCAGGGCAGGGGTCGGGACACAGGGTCCTTGGGTCAGGGAAGAGGTCGGGGACACAGGGTCCTGGGGTCTGAGCAGAAGTTGGGGACACAGGGTCCTGGGGTCAGGGCAGAGGCTGGGGACACAGGGTCCTGGGGTCAGGCAGAAGTTGGGGACACAGGGTCCTGGGGTCAGGGCAGAGGCTGGGGACACAGGGTCCTGGGGTCAGGCAGAAGTTGGGGACACAGGGTCCTGGGGTCAGGGCAGAGGCTGGGGACACAGGGTCCTGGGGTCAGGCAGAAGTTGGGGACACAGGGTCCTGGGGTCAGGGCAGAGGCTGGGGACACAGGGTCCTGGGGTCAGGCAGAAGTTGGGGACACAGGGTCCTGGGGTCAGGGCAGAGGCTGGGGACACAGGGTCCTGGGGTCAGGCAGAAGTTGGGGACACAGGGTCCTGGGGTCAGGGCAGAGGCTGGGGACACAGGGTCCTGGGGTCAGGCAGAAGTTGGGGACACAGGGTCCCGGGGTCTGGGTTATGCTTCAGAACTTTGGGGCAAGGCTCAGAGCCCCACAGAGGCCCAGCCTCGGAGGTCCTGGGGGCGGGGGTGGGGCGGGGCTCCAATGATTGGCTGCCCTCAGCCTCCTTTTCCTCTTGAACCCACAGTCTCGGGAGGCTTCAGCCGGACTCCGGCCGACACTTCACGACCAGGGCTTCCCATTCCAAGTCCTGTTGTGGGGGCGATGCCCAGTGGACCTTGGCACAGTGAGCGTCCCTAACGGGTGTCTGGACACGGCCCTGCGCTCGCTGCCCTCGTCCAGCGTGGGCACAGCGGATGGACTGGGCAGGCCTCAGCATGGGTGCTGGTGGCATTAACACTCAGGCAGATGGCTCCCAGGCTCGGGGACAATAGTGTCCCTGGCCCCTCGGGCTCAGGGCAGGGCACACACATTCTAGGATTCCCAGAGGAGACTCGGGTGGGCGAGGTGCCGGCTGGAATCCTGGCCTGGGGTCTGCAATGGGGGTGGGGATGGCAGCAGCTATGGGTTCCTGGTCTCAGCCGTGAGGACAGTGGTGTGAGTGGGTGCCCCAGGCCACGGGCCTGGGTGGGAAGGGTTGGCAGGGGGCTGTCGGGGGGCAAGGAGGTCGGTCCTGCCATCACCCCCACTATGTCACCCACAGATGCCCCCGTGCAGGGATGGTCTTGGTCAGGGGAGCAGGCTGGCCGGGCCACAGCAGTAACAGTGGACGCCGGAGGGGACCGTCTGCCTGCCGCAGCCCACCTCCCTCTGCTTCTGAATTTCACAGTCCCTGCTTCCCGAGCTGGCTCAGAGCTCCCAAGAGACTCCTGCCAGATGTTCCTGGCGGCCCCACGTCGCCTCCCTAATGAAATATTCATGGGGCCTTTCTGCCTCTTGACATAAAGGCTTCTGCAGCTCCACACACCATGGAGACGGGGCCAGCCTCCCAACAAGCCCAGGAAGGAGTGGGCACCCGGCCAGCCCCTCCCTCTGTGCCAACCCTGGGTGCCCACTCCCTGTGCGCCAACCCCAGCTGCCCACTGTGCCTCCCGAGACAGAGGCTGGGCCTCCACCTCCCTTTTGCTCTGCTAAGGGTCAGGGGTCCAGCTGCCTACACCCTCCCCTGCACAGAGGCCTCCCCGCCCCCTCTGCCTCTTGACAGCCCAGTGCCAGCTGTGTGGGCACATCAGCCCTGGGGCTGGACTCTGGAGAAAGGGCAGCCGCCACCCTGCATGGGAAGGAGCCAGGACCACCCTCACAGGCCTGGGGCAGAGAGGCTCTACCTATCTCTTCCTTCAGTACCTTGGTGGCCGACAGCTCCCTACACCACGCCAGCAAGGCTGGGCTCCTGCAGCCCACCTCACCCCTTGCTGTGTGGTGGCTGGCCTGGCCTGGTCTCGCGGTGACCTGCTGTCATCTGGCCATGCCTCTGTCCATGTGCTCATGCACCCGGTGCTGGCAGGGAGCTGGTGCCGTGCCAGGTCCAGTGCATGGAGAGCAGACTTCATGCCCAGCCCTGCGCTCCGGGAGTTCACGCAGCCCCCAGCCAGGCAGTGAGGGCGGAGGACCTCAGGCCAGGGCTGGCGAGGCCAAGAAGGATGAGGTGGACAGAAGTTTCCAGGGGCCTGGGAGCTGTGTGAGGAATGAAAAGCGGCCAGTCTGTGAGTCCCACACAGAGGTGACCTTTGAGCTCCCTCGTCTTAAAGGAGAAGGGATCCGGCCCAGGCTGAGTCCGCACCAGCCTCTGCTCAGTCCACAGGCCCTGTCTGGCTCTGCCGGGCCTCCTCAGGGCGCTGGTCTGCAGGTGGTGGCCACAGTGAGGCCCCTCTGGGTCAGAGTCTGCCCCACTCTGGGTGGCTGGCCCTGGGCTCCACTCTGGCTGTGCAGGGCCGGCCTCGGCTGGGAGGGACCCAGCGGGCTTGCTGGGGGCCATAGGGCTGCCCCGGCCTCTGTGACTCCCACGCTCTCCTTGCTCCTGGCCTCTGGGTCAAGGCTTTATGTTTACTGGGCATGTCGACCTTAACTGTCACCTGAAGTGGCAGGGAAAGTGTTACACAACCACTCACAGAGGCACCCTCAGCCTCCGCATTAGGGGAGATAGACCCGGAGAGAGACCACGTTGCTTCCCTGAGGTGACCGACTGAGCGGGTTGGGTCAGAGCCAGGAAGGAAGCTGCCACGTGTCAGTCCTGGAGCCCAGCGCCATCTCCACGGCCAGCACAAGCAGCCGGGACCGTCCCGGGAACCAGCTGCCTGCCCAGGATGTCCCAGCTCTCCTGAGCTCACTGACCAGGGATTTGGCCAGTGCCCCTCCCCCATGCGGGCAGTGGGCTGGTTTGCACAGCGGGAGGGGTGTCGGCCAGATGTCCCTCCGCCTCCCCTGGTCCGGCTGCCTTGCTCCGAGCTGCTGGCGGGATAATCAGCTCTGCCTGTGGTGGAGAAATAAAGCACATTCCACAGAACGAGTGGTGTTAATTTGCAGTCCAAGTTACCCAGCGCCTGGAGGGCAGCGCCACGGCCACGCGGAGAACCGGCGGGGGCCCCCCCTCCCCGCCCGTGCAGCCCCTCAGAGAGACAAAGCATCCCAGCCCCGGCTCCGGCACCGCGGCCCTTCAGGCGGGAGGCGGTTCCGGGAAGCGAAGCAGCAGCTGCTGGGGCCCCTCTGGCTTCCGAAGGCTCTTGCCAGAGCAATCAGTGAGCACCCGAGGTCCCACCTGACTGCCCTGCCTGGCCAGGTGTGGTGGCCTCCGGAACAGCCGCTTCCAGAACGGAGGCCACTGCCTGTCGGGCCCAGCGGCCTTGTCCCATCTCAGCTGCCGTCACCTCACCAGGCCCCCAAAGTGTGCTCCGGGGCTCACCCCGCCGTGAAGCCTGGGGTCTCACTGCTCCTCTCCCAGACGGCCACTTTTCTTCTTTACGTGAGGATCACGCTCCAGGCCTTGCTCCAAGCCCTCCCTGCCCTGGGACATCTACCCGCCTGCCTGCTGACCCCTTCTGGTACCCGCTCCTGGGCTGCTCAGAGCTGCTGCTGCCTGTTGATGAGCAGTGTGGGTGGTGCAGAGATGCAGCACCTGGGCGGTCCGTGTCCTGCCCCGGCTGCCGTCCCCGCAGTGATCAGCACCCGCCCTGTGTGTCAGGACCGAGCCGCACCTGACGTCTTCACGGGCGGCTCCAGGAGGCCCCGCAGCCCATGAGTTTCACAGCAACATCCATGCGTGCAGCTGTTGGGACTGGCACAGGCCCTCTGGACACCTTTACCTGGAAACCAGGGCTGTTCTCCCTGGATGGCAGGAAGGCAGCAGGTGGGAGGTGGGAGGGCAGTGCTGGCTCCATGGGTCCTCCTGAGTTCTGAGGACCAGGCGCTTCCCTGCGTGTGTCTTGCTCCGCCCATAGGCCCTGGGCTTCTGCTGCTCCTCTGGGGGTACAAGGGCCATCCTGGCATTCCATCTTCTCTTGGGAACCTAGAGAGCCCTGTGGCTCCTTCGGAGGTCAGAGGGCAGTGCCATGCACTCAGAGGCATCTGGGAATGCTTCTGGGGTTTGGATGGATGGACAGATGGGCAAATTAACAGGACCCTGCACTTGGAATCACAAAACTTTAGGCAAGAAAGGGTCATTGGAGAGCATCTAGTCCAACACTCTAATGGGATAGGAGGGAAACTGAGGTCAGTCACAGCCCTTGGCCTAGACAGGGAGACAGTCTACCGGCTGCTCCTGCATCTCCCACAGCCTAGGTTCACACATCTTCCTCCAGGTCAGGGAGGGAAGGGTCTGCACTCCTCACCAACTGAGGGCAGGGACAGGCTTTAGGTCCTGAGAACCCAGCCCTACCTAATTGCCTGCCTGCCTGGCAGGGACGCCCCTATCAAGTTGCACAGTAAGGCAACCAGGCTGGGTCTGACTCACCCACAATCCATCAGCCTGTTGGTCTTTACACATTCTGGGAGAGGCAAGAATCTCTTCCTCTTGGCTATTCTGCTAACTAAGAACACGTTATTTGGAAGTCTTGGGTTTCATCAAATCTAAATTCCTCAGGCCGCCCATGACCTAAGCTCTGGCCTCAGAGGTCTGGGCCTCTCTAGAAGCGGGTCTCCATTTCTGCTTGGATGACCCTCTCCTTGGGTCTTCATCCCTCACTGGAAGGCATGGTCATGAGGACATGGGAAGAAGAACATAGGGCTATGAACTCGGCATTTTGGGGTCAGAAGGACCCAGGTTCAAGTTCAGGCTCTGTCACTAGCTAGGGACCGCAGTGCCTTCGTCTATAGACAGAGGATAATAATAGCACATACCTCAAAAGAGCTGTGCATATTCAATGTGATCTCATGTCTAAACCCTCTGCATGATGTCTGGTACCAAATCAATGCCCAGAAAATGGCGAGGATTGTTGCGATGATGATGATGGTGATGGTGATGATGGTGATGGTGATGATGGTTATGGTGATGGTGGTGATGGTGATGATGGTGATAATGGGGATGCTCATGATGGGCATGGTGATGATGATGATGATGATGATGGTGATGGTGGTGATGATGGTGATGGTGGTGGTGATGATGATGGTGATGGTGATGATGGTGATGGTGATGGTGGTGATGATGGTGATGGTGATGATGGTGGTGGTGATGATGATGGTGATGGTGATGATGGTGATAATGGGGATGCTCATGATGGGCATGGTGATGATGATGAAGATGATGGTGATGATGGTGATGGTGATGATGGTGATGGTGATGATGGTGATAATGGGGATGCTCATGATGGGCATGGTGATGGTGGTGATGATGATGATGTGATGATGGTGATGGTGGTGATGATGATGATGATGGGATGCTGATGATGGGCATGGTGGTGATGATGATGGTGATGATGATGGTAATGGTAGATGATGGTGATGATGATGGTAATGGTAGATGATGGTGATGATGGTGATGGTGATGATGATGGTGATGGTGATGATGGTGATGGTGATGATGGTGATAATGGGGATGCTCATGATGGGCATGGTGATGATGATGATGGTGATGGTGGTGATGATGGTGATGGTGATGATGGTGGTGGTGATGATGATGGTGATGGTGATGATGGTGATGGTGATGATGGTGATAATGGGGATGCTCATGATGGGCATGGTGATGATGATGATGATGATGGTGATGGTGGTGATGATGATGATGTGATGATGGTGATGGTGGTGATGATGATGATGATGGGATGCTGATGATGGGCATGGTGGTGATGATGATGGTGATGGTGATGATGATGATGGTAATGGTAGATGATGGTGATGATGATGGTAATGGTAGATGATGGTGATGGTGATGATGATGGTGATGGTGATGATGGTGATGGTGATGATGGTGATAATGGGGATGCTCATGATGGGCATGGTGATGATGATGATGATGATGATGGTGATGGTGGTGATGATGGTGATGGTGATGATGGTGGTGGTGATGATGATGGTGATGGTGATGATGGTGATGTGATGATGGTGATAATGGGGATGCTCATGATGGGCATGGTGATGATGATGATGATGATGGTGATGGTGGTGATGTGATGATGGTGGTGGTGATGATGATGGTGATGGTGATGATGGTGATGGTGATGATGATGTGATGATGGTGATGGTGGTGGTGATGATGATGGTGATGCTGATAATGGGCATGGTGGTGATGATGATGGTGATGCTGATGATGGGCATGGTGGTGATGATGATGGGGATGCTGATGATGGGCATGGTGATGATGGTGATGGGGATGCTGATGATGGGCATGGTGGTGATGATGATGGGGATGCTGATGATGGGCATGGTGGTGATGATAATGGTGATTATGATGATGATGGTGATGATGGTGATGACAGTGATGGTGATGAGGAGAGGGATGCTGATGGTGACAGTGATGATGGTGATGGTGGTGATGGTAATGATGGTGATGGTAATGGTAATGATGGTGATGGTGGTGATGGTGGTGATAGTGATGATGGTGATGGTGATGATGGTGATAATGGTGATGATGGTGATGGTGATGAGGAGAGGGATGCTGATGGTGACAGTGATGATGGTGATGGTGGTGATGGTGATGATGGTGATGGTGATGATGGTGATGATGGTGAGGGTAATGGTAATGATGGTGATGATGGTGAGGGTAATGGTGATGATGGTGATGGTGATGATGGTGATGGTGATGATGGTGATGGTGATGATGGTGATGGTGATGAGGAGAGGGATGCTGATGGTGACAGTGATGATGGTGAGGGTAATGGTAATGATGGTGATGGTGGGGATGATGATGATGGTGATGATAATGCTGCTGCTTTTATAGCATAAGTAAACCTGGACCAGTATATGGACCCACCAAGGGCTTCCTCTGAAGCACTGGGCACACATTTCAGAAAGGAGCCTCCTTCTCATGTGCAGCTACAAATCGCATGTCCAGCAGATTGGGGCTGCCTAAGCAATCTTTGCAGCAATGTCCCCATGGACAGGTCCTAAGCAAGCTGAGGTCAGGATCAGGTGTCATGGGTGCTCCAGAGACCCAGCACAAAGCTGTTTCCCGCAGGGGTTTAGAGACAAGTGGGAAAAACACGCTTGGACTTGGGAAATATTAAGCCTCCGTGCTCTACAAGAGTAAAAGAGGCCTCGTGAGCCTTCACAAGAGCAGTGGCCCAGGGCACGGGGGGCGAGACGGAAGGCTGGGCGGAGGCAGGCATTCTGGACAGGGCCCGGAGACTGATTAACTGAGCCGGAGGTGAGGGAGAGGCCGTGCCAGGAGAGGGCGCCATGATGTGCAGCCTGAGGGATCCCGCATCTGGGACCACTGACAGGTGTGCAGTAGGAGGTGGCTGGGACAGGCCCCAAGAGGCAGGGAGGTCGGGTTCTCCACTAAATGCAGAGTGACGCCCTGTGAGAAAGGGTTCCAGCCTGGCCCATCTTAGAGCGGGGGCTCAGAAAGCCTGCCTGCTCCCTGCGGCCCTGTTCCTCTCTGATGCCAGGCAGCCTCTGGCCTCTGTTTCTCCTGCTAGTCAAACTCTGACTTTGCAGGGAAACTCTATTTCAAAGTGAAATTTTATTTACAATTGCAATTTATAACGCATCTGCTCGGGAGGTGCTGTGGCTGGCCGTGCTGGCGGTGCGGGCGGCTGCGGTGAGGGTGCCATGTGGTCTGCCACCCCTGCCCGCCCTTCATGGATGCCCCTTGGCAGAACTCCAGGGCTCTGCTTCACACGGTCTGAGGCCTCGGTGGCTCTGGCTGCCTTCAGTGGCCTTCACCCTAGCACCCTGGTCTGAGGTGCTGACTTCAGGGTATGAGAGCAAAGGCTCCCGGGAGGCCGTGTGTGCCAGGCTGGCAATGTGGGGTTCCTTGGTGGGGAAAAGGCAGGCTACATGGCTGCTCACACAGTCCTCTCTTCCCTCGCCTGGAACCAGGCCCCTTCCCAGACCGGGGCAGCCGGTGGTCAC